CTGTAAAAGAAATAATATTACAGATGACTTTTGAATCACTTTCATTATTAAAGTATTATTATATTATTTTTTTTATTTATTACAGCCAGTATAGTATGTCCTCTACTGAACATAGGCCTGCTTCATAGATTATCTCATATTCTATGTTTTGAGGAATTTTTCATAGTAGCCACACTAGGCAGGCAGGTTAGTCTCGCAGTTTTTTATATTTTAAGTTATCAAGAATATGCTGCAGCCCAGCTCCGATTTTAGTTTCCCTCTGTCGCCTCTTACGACACACAAGGAACGATATGGATATTCTTCCACATCCACCTCCCCGCAGCACTGATTGGCAAAGGTATGTGCTGCCGTTATTGAAATCGTGTCTTATATATTAAAACGATGAATACAATGTATTTGCAAAAATAAGTGTCATCAAATCAATCTGTAAATACTAGGAACAGACACAAGCTAGTAGTACTAGTTACTCGACTCCACTGAGTCCGTAATTCATTCTTGGAGCGATGTATACGCTTTTACAACAAAATCCCAGAAAATATACAAAATTTGATAAACACAAAGTTCAAAAACTTTATTAAACTAAGTTTGTATAAAAAGGGTTATTATAATATTAAGGAATTTATGGATTATAATAACCCCTGGGAGGGGTGATCGCTACCAAGCTATTTCTAATTTGTTTATTATTTGAAAAAAAAAATAGTCCCGCTGGGTTTTTGTTGATTCTTCCCAGGACAGAGGATTTTTTTTTTGCAAACCAGTGGTAAATGAAAAAAGTGACTTTCAATAAGTATTGTTTATAATCTATATTGAATAAAAAAGTTTCTCTTTCTGTTTCTGTTACAAGTGAAATAAACGATAAATATAATATAGTACAAAAAAATGGGATAATTACAAGCCACCACCGCCGTGGTAGCTCAGATATTTAGTACTCGCTATAAATTTACACAGTACGCGAGCAAACCGGGTTCGATCCCCGCCAGCACCAATGAAATTGTTTATTGCAATTTTGAGTGTTGATTTACCACGATCTCGGCGGTGAAGGAAAACATCATGAGGAAACCTGCATGTCTCTGAAAAATAGAAATTATTTTTCGAAAACATGTGAAATTCGCTAACACGCATTGAGGCAGCGCCGTGGACAATACCTTGCCCTAAAACCTTTTCAGAAATGAACGGGAGGCCTGTGCTCAGGAGTGGGACGCATATAGGCTGTAACTTTAATACCCAGCAAATAAAAAGTATACTTTCCTACTTATTCCGGATGACCAACCTTTTTTGACGGTCACCATTTGAACTATCAATTATTTATTTCGAATATATTCATCTCTATATATTTCATGTCTATATGTTATATTGTAGCTACCAATGAAGTTTCCTTCTTTTCTAATCTTTCATTAATTTAATCATTCTTTTTTTTCTTCGTCGGGCGATTAAGTTGAGTTAATGACCAATTCACAACCATACGGACTTATTTAATTAAATTTGATACCAACCTTCACTTTATAATTTTGTTTGGGTATCTTCATCCTATCGAAACTAGCTTGAAGAGCCACTGGGGTGCCATCCTCTCGCAAATTCACGAAAGCTATTGCATAGCTCCCGTCGGCAAGTTCGCGAATCCAGATCTGTAATCAAAAGCCGTAGCGCAATGGCTTAGTGTTTAGCTACAAACTGCGGGTCGCTGGTTCGCATCCCGTTTCAAAATACTTTATGTATGGTCTACAAATAATTGTTTCAGGTCTTGTTGCCTAACTATATACAGGTAACCTATATATAGGTATATCCCCTAGGGATATAACTATATCAAGGCTTCAACTATCTTACTGCGACAGATCATCATCATCATCATCATCATCATTACAGCCCTTCACAAGTCCACTGCTGAACATAGGCCTCCCCCAAGGTATGCCACAAAGCACGGTCCTGAGCCACCTGCATCCATCGACTTTCTGCATGTCTTACCAGGTCGTCACTCCATCTAGTGGGGGTCGCCCTACACTTCGCCTACCGGCACGAGGCTGCCACCCGAGAACCTTTCTTCCCCAACGGTTATCGGTTCTTCGAGCTATATGGCCGGCCCATTGCCACTTCAACTTACTAATCCGTTGTTACTGCGACAGATAGATTTATTTATTTATTTATTTAACATATTATACATGATAAAAAGGATATAATATGGTACAACATAAGCTTAATGAAAAACTTTACCGTGTACCACAGATCGCCGTCATAATTTTTTTTAAATATGAGCTACGCAACACTGTTAAACACTAAACAGCAATTGGCACGGTCAACACGCGGTAAATCGGCAATACATACGTAGTAACTTCATAGTGAACAAGAAAGGTGTGAGTCTTGCCACCGCCCACTTCACTGCGTCAAAAACCGGTCGTTCCTGCGTTGCGTATACAGGGGGTATCAATTAGTTAGTTACTTAATATTTAATAGTAAACGAATATAATGATTATTCTTAGGTTGTATATCATATAGGTAAATATAGGATATATAGTTATTGGGGATTATAGTATTTAATTTTATTATTTTTTAAGTCTGAAGTCTGATATAATACAGTTCCTATAATAGTTTTTTAATTTGTGTTTAATATTTTTATGATTAATTTCATTTAGAAAAGATATTGGTAAATGATAAATTAAATTCGGAACCATGTATTCTAAAGTATGTTTTCCGTATAAATTATTATAATTAGGTTTATCTAATTTTGGTTTGGCCGCACTGCGGGTTTTAGAATAGTTAGAAATGCCATATTTTTTTAAATCTTCATTAAAAATTCTTCATTTAAGAGAGTATATTCTACTTTTTTATGCACCGGTATAATTTTGCAGTAATCGAATAGGTTATGGTAATCAGAATCCCTGTGTAAGTTTTTAATTTGTTCTGGGACTATGGTTTTTAAGATGCGTAGTTGCAATGAATAAATGTTATCTAAATGTGATTTATAAGTTCGCCCATAACTAGACAAGCCATATGAAATTTTAGATTCAGCGAGTGATTTATATAATTGTAACAGAATTCTATAAGGGACTTTATACTTAATTATGGAGAATTTTGCTAATATGCTTCGAAGTCTATTACACACATCCTCAATATTATGATGTTTCCAGTTGAGTCGACTATCTATTATAAGTCCTAAGTAAGTTTGAGTTTCTACCGGCTCTAATTCTGCACAATAACAATTGAGAGTCACTTGTCCTTTGTGAAGGCATAGGTGGTCATGCATGATAATGCTAGGTATTGCTTTACTCCTATTGTGACTTGAACTTATATACATTAGCTTGGTCTTGCTAGCATTGATAACTAATCCTTTATCGTGAGACCATTGTGTTAATATATTAAGTTCTTCTTGCAGAATGCGGCCAGTTTCGTTAATATTTTCGCCTTCTGCAACGAGGCACGTATCATCGGCATACTGGTATATTTCGCAACGTCTGATGATGTTTGCCAGACTATTAACATAGGTGATGTAATGCAATGGTCCAATTACAGAGCCTTGTGCAGTGCCTACCGAAGAGTTAACATAATAACTAATGGCATCACCCACTTTTACCGCATATTTTCTGTCATTAAGGTAATCTCTGCACCATGATAATAAAGGTCCTCTGATATCATTAAGACATTACGACTGTCTATTAGCTTGTTATGATTAAGTGTATCAAACGCTTTAGTATAGTCTACAAAGACTACCAAGACGTGTCTTTTATTATCAAATGTTTGTAAACGCTGTTAGTGAAGGTCGATAACAGTTGAGTGGTATATTTTTTTGGTTGAAAGCCATACTGTTTTTCCGTTATTATATTGTTTTAAGCGTAGAAGTCATAAACCTGTCTGCAGGTGTATTTTTCAGCAATTTTATCTATAACGGGTAAAATAGTAATTGGCCTATAGTTGTCATGCACCATAGGGCTACCCTGCTTATAGATAGATCTAACTATGCCAGTTTTTAAAATATGGGGATACTTTCCACTTTTTATACAGTCATTAATAAGGTTCGCAATTACATCACTGACTAAATTGCATATTTTTTTTATGTTTAGATGAATCTATATAATCTTTATCATCGTAACAGCTTATCAGGTGACCATTTCTGAATTTGCCATATTTGCCAAGCTTAGCAGGCTAGTTATCAGCCGCACTTTTTATTATTTTTGAGATGTAATCAGGAAGATGCTGCAGCCCATCTCCTTTTTCTTTTCTCTATTTCGCCTCTAACGACACTCACTGTAGAGGACTCAGTTTAATTCGACTGCATGTTTTTTATATGTGCCGCCTCATGACTTTTCTCTGGGTAAACCGACTTTGATGACTCTTTTTTCATCTGATTGCTGATGCTTCTCGTGTGGTCCTACATAAATTTAATCAAAATCTGACTAACAGTTTTTGAGTTATCTTTAATAATGCGTATTTAATTTACTTCGAGTACATCGATTTGGTCCTATTGAAGTCGGTTGTACAAAATTTTTAATTTTACCACATTTTAAAACTTTGCCCTATTCCTTCAAACGCTTGTTTATTCAGCCAAAGATTTTAAATCTTTGCACTCAACCACTTCGATACGGAGTCGTCGTAATGTTTTAATACTACACATAAATGCAATTAAGATGAAGTTGATGTAACTAACGATCTTACAGTCCACCTGTTAGCAAGTGGCTACTTACAGACCACCGACACCTGCAACTAACATCAAATAAAAAAGACTACAGATGCGTTGTCACCTCCGGAAACTAAGGTAAAATGCCTCACACCCTCACAGCCTGTAATTTTACTTTCTGTTCAACTATACCCTCCAGACCGGACGACAGCAGTGCACGTGTTGCAGTTTGGCGGCAGAAATAAGTACTTAAGAGGGTAGTCCCCGACCTAGGCGACGTACTCTGTTGATTTGAATATGACTTTATATTAATCGACAGGATCAACTAACAAGACCTAATTTCTATTAACTATCGATCAAAGGATAAATTACACAACAACACCCGCACCCGAACCTAACTACCCTTCCTAATCCTCACAGCAATAACGTCTTCATTAAGCAGCACCTCTTTGAACTCAGGACGAATGATGGCAAGGTCGACGCTCATGAGCAACGGCGCCGCCAGTATCGACCACACCGCCATCTGCACGCGGGCTTGATCCAACTAGAGACCAAAGTTTACGATAATTAACTGCAAGTAATATTACAAAATAATATATAGCGCAATCGCTGTTTTTTTTCTTCTTCATCAGCCCGTAGAAGTATAACTGGGCAAGGGTCTCTTCCATTATAGAGATTTGGTATAATCTGCGTGCGGTTACCAAGCGGTTTAGATCAGGGGCTCTCAAAGTTATGCGTGTTACTCGTAGACCCCTCAGGTTACAAAAAATATTTCACGACCTCTGCCGCACTTTACTTGTGATCTTTTGTTTATGGTTTTTCTTTTTTTTTGTGTTTGATTATTGAAATTTAATAAAAAAAATTTACTTTGTAAGCCCAATTCGCATCCCATTACACCCGTCACCCTGAGACGAGAAGGTGGTGGTGTAGTTAATATGATTGAGAACTGTAATAGATAGAAATCTACGTACTATGGTAATTTGTACGCGCCCCGAAGGAATTAAACCAATTTTAAGTTCATAAATTTGGCCCATGCGTTAACAAATAGATGGCAAGCGCTCCCTATGGGAAACCCCGCACTCACTTTGTAAACCATTGGTTAAGATTAATTATCATTCGTATAATTCGATTCGCATTACAAGAGTTACGTGCATGAACATCTGTCGGGGCCATGAGGTTTTTTTGACATATCTCAAAGAGGCTGTGGATGACTGGGAAGGTGCTACCATACCAGTTATCTTCTCTTTTGATAATTAGGATTTGTTCGTTAATGCTTCACATCAGTGGATGTGAAGAATTGACGCTACGGACAGTGTGCAGTCTATAAACACGTACAGGATTGCCCCCTCCACTACATCAGATTTGATAGACCCACAAATTCTCACAAAGGAACACCGTTTACTTGCAAGGAAGTCAAAAAACATACTAATTTCAATAAAGAAGATGACTCTGTACTACCATTTTCTTTAAATTATATTATTATTAAAAATTTAAAACAACTCAAGCATACAACTGCAACACTATATGATAGTGTAAGGTTAATCTGCGTAGATTGGATCAAGAATCAATAATTTTAAACTGAAGGCGAGTTTTCTTACGAGCTATAACAAATGTCTCTTACAGTGTCTACACTTAGAAAGTATTTTAAACCATTACCAGTTACACAACGTTTTACAGCCATTACCATACAAAAGTTTTACAACCATTACCACACAAAAGTTTTACAACCATTACCACACAAAAGTTTTACAACCATTACCACACAAAAGTTTTACAACCATTACCATACAAAAGTTTTACAACCATTACCGTTACAGCCTATTAAAGGACCACTGATGAACATAGACCTTCCCCATAGATTACCTCATAGTAATATCCCTCATATTAATTTGCTAAAGTTGTCAGACTTGGAAGAAGTGTTGGCAAGCGCAGTTGTAGATATTAAGAATATAGTCGAAGTTGTCGTGTAGGTGCGTCATAATAGAATGCATCATCACATATTGTCGCGTGCGTTTCGTAAGAAGCGACTTTGCCGGAAAAGTCTGATGGCTTCCGACAGATGGCGGTATAACCACCTCGTTTACTTCAGATGTAAAGTATCCAGACCGGTGACAGGCAACATTTACTTATTAGGAAGCTGATGCTGTCCATGTCCTGGTTTGCTTCCCCCTCTCACCTCTTTTATCACCACGGCACGATATGAAGTACTGGATACTCTTACAACGCCACTGCACGGTTAAGTGCTTAAAATCTAATTTAATAATTTCTTTTTCATTTACCATATCAGGATCGTTCCAATGTCCGGGACCTGCGTACTTCACCAACTCGTCTTGATTTTTGGCAAACCATTGCATAATATTTTTCAAGGACGTCCAGGAATCTTGGATGTCTCCGTAATTACGCCACAGGTTGCAGTGTTTCGCGATCGAACTATAATTCGGCTGTATACAAGTGCAAATTAAACAGTTATTTGATTACCAAGATTAAACACAATAAGACACAACGTAACTACGTTTCAATAATAATAATAAATAATAACTAATGGTGGTCGCCTAGTGGTGGAAATTCTACCGTAATTCGTAAAATTATTAGGTTTATATATTTATACAAATTTATAAATTAGTTATTATGTATAATTTATTATTAGTTACGTATAGGTAATTATTACAAATCTGTGTATAAAAGGTAAAAAAGCGTTTGTTTTAATTAGATATAAATTTATGGATATTAATGTATTCGTTACATATTTTAAAAATTAATAATTAGCCTTCTGCACTCCTTCTTCATATAAACTTTAACTATGCCAAATTCTATATTAATGAAGACTAGCCATTTGCATAGCCAGGATAATATTGCACGAGTGTGTCACACAGGTGCACTCTCTATTCTTTCATAATCCTATGGGACGGCAATCCAATACGACCAGTGAAAGTGAGATCAAACGCATTTACTTGGCACGCACCACGACAACGTAGTGTAACATTTTGAGGCACGACGATGAAACACCACCAACTGCCTGACTCCAAACAAAACCTAATAACTCATTTGAACCGGGACCTCATGATCAGTCAGCATTATCATCACTAGATCATCGAAGCAGTCAAAGCCTCCATACTGGGTCGTGTCACGATTCAATATTGGGCAGTGTTATTTTCCAGTCCATCCGCCAAGGCGACCTTTCCCACAAGCTGACCCTTTGTGGGAAAGATTTTCCTTCATCTATACGATTGATAGGTGATTGAAGACCGCAATGCCTGCCTCATTGGTCCAGTGGTCAAAAGCGCGACGACTGCTGATCATATGGTACCAATTTCGAATCCTAGGTCGGGATAAAATCAGTTAATGTATTTTTTTCTTTAATGAAATCCTCAGTAGCAAAGCGGAGTCAGAAAGTTGGTGGTGTTTCGTTCTCAGCCCCGAAAGAACGTAAAGTTAACGTACGTAACGAATGTAAACGCTGGCGTACGCCTGATCTATGTCTGACCTTGTTGGGTTACCCTAACATCGGACTATGTGTGCTTGCACACATACTCGAGCACTATAATCCTGTCCTGTACTAAATCCTGTCTGGGTAATATTATTATTATATCAAAAATCTCGCTTTTTGGAGATGCTCTACGTTTCATTTCTGGGTATACTATAGTTTTTTTTTTTCGGAAATTTCCCATGACCGTCTCTTGTGAGATGATTTATTTTATTTTATACAAAAATCTTAAATTAAAACTTTTACCACACAAATCGAACTTTATTTCTTCATAACTCTACTGGTAATAACATTGACATTTACTCACATTGTTCTGGTACGCCGGCCAACTGCAAGAGTATACGATGGGACGACCGGTCTCGTTCAACAACTTTCCGAAAGCGGAATAGCCTAGATCATTAAAATTTACATCACTATGTATTAATATTAGTACGAAAAGGATTTTCTGAAATTTTACGATTTCTACAAGACATAAGAGATATTTTACCTCCACCACAAGTGGCCAAGTGTGGCAGCTATGGCAAAAACTCCCCTATGAGGCAATCAATATGTTAGGTCTAAGTTCACGAGTGGACTTCTATAGGTTGTAGGGGATGAAATATAAACATAAACTCTCAAGCCTGTCACTTAGAGGGGTAGGCAGAACCCCGGACTTCCATATGCCACTATCTGAAGTACCTCTCTCATTTCTTTGATATCCATATGTTCTCCAGTTGAGTATACTCTAAATTTGAACTATCTTTAATATCATATCATCAATTTAATCGAAAAACTTCCGTAGGCGTCTCTTGACGACTTTTAACTTTTCATTAACTTCAATCGGCGCAAATTTCAGGGTCTAAGGGGCCGTTGTCTGTAACGAATTCCGTTTCATTGAATCTTCATTAAAATTCGAAGTCTAAATTAGACAGAAGCAAAGCGTGCAGCTGCAGCTCAAGTCTGCATGTAATACACATATACACAAACACATATACACAGGACCAACAAATAATCGTCCCAGGTGTGGATGTTTGTCCATATGCAATGTATATTATGTAAAACTCCTGCACGATGTAGCAAAACTCCTAGCGATAAAAGCGCTGTCAGGACCCAATGAAGAATTTTCAACCAAACCAAATATATATATATATATATATATATATATATATATATATATATATATATATATATATGTATATATATATATATATATATATATATGTTGTATATACGTCAGGATAAAAGAGAATATTTATTATTTAATATTGTAAACAAGTTATTCTTATTGAAAGTCATTATTTACTTTTACCCCTATTTCGGATAAAACTTCTGTCCTGGAAAGGTTGATAAAAATAAAAGAAATATTTTGAATACAGAGGTTGTTGTTTTATATTTTCGATTACTTAATTATATTTTTTAAGTAAGTAAATTTGTTTTAAGTAAATTTAAATTTGTTATACTTAGTACCTTAATTCCTTATCTTTAAATGAGGACGACCCACAGTTTTTCATCGCACATGTATGATTTTGATTTTAATTTATTTGCGTGACAGGACAACCCTAGCGGATAGCTCCCGAGGGACTAACGGCCGCTCAGGAGCGCTCTGCCCGCGTCTCGCGCTCCACCGCATGCAAAAATTTCTCCATATGAACGATGACCGACTGTTATAGTTATAGACCATGTGAATAGTTATGTCACAGTCTAACTACTACTTAGGCTGTGGTCATGTCTTAGTGGCTCACACTAGCACCTTTTACGCATACCTAATGAGAGGTTGCAAATTGCCTACATACATAGCATCTCATCCAAGGGCATTACTTCTTCAGCAAGGGACCAAAAGGTAAAAAACCACAGGGCCCCAAATAAAATTCTCGGTAGTTTGCTTTCTGTACTTAACAGTATCATATTTGCTCGGATCCAATGCGCAATTTGATGTAGTCCACTTCGCACTCGGTGAAGGTTTCGACGTCTATCTCCTCATACCCGAGAATGCCAGGGTATCCAGCGCAGGTCTTTGTACCGTAGTCTTGATATATTCCGAACTTTAAGCCTTTGCAATGGACCTAATTTGCAGTACACAATAATATTTAGAAGTCCATAAGTACTTTCCAGCACCCATGGTCACGGGGAACCACAGAATACATATAAAGGGGTACTGAGGTGACTGACGTCCCGATGTCAAAGTTAACCTGGAGTACCTTCAGCTTTTTAACTATTGTCTTTGGTCCGATCTACGCAGAACGAACGGACCAAAGACAATAATTAAAAAGCTGAAGACAAAATCAACAAAAGTAGTTTTAATCAATTTAGAAGTCCATTAAAACTGCATATTAATTAAATAAAAAGTTGAAACTTTTTCTTTTAGGACAGGAAGTAATATTCAGTTACGTCCTAAATTTTCGATTCTTCTTTTATACAAATTTATTATTAGACGTAACGCTTATTATTCAAATATATAGGAATAATAAGCGTTATAGTATACATAGTAAGCATTCTGCATCCCTCTATTTCGTTAATTAAGAATTATTACATTTCACTGAAATATTTTTACCATCATATAAGATGGTAAAAGTACATAGTTAACTATATATTACTCAGCGTCTGTACTAGACGATGTGATCGCGTCAAAACCGAGGCGACCGTAGAAGAGCTCTACAGCTGTTCTATGTGTAAGCCAGTCTGTAGATTATTACTGGCTAATGGAGATCGCGTAAAAATATTTTTACTAGTTTAATATAGTGCTAGTGATGTGTAGTTCATAGTAAAACATTACATGAACGATTTTCCATACTTTGTTAAAATTAGGCCTTTCAACAGCAGTTTTTTTTTTATAGGAGAGGAGGCAAACGACGTCATAGCATACGGCTCACCTGACGGTAAGTGATTATCGCCGCTCACAAACAACTGCCACCAGGGGAATTGCAGAAAGGTCCCCAAGTCCTATCGGTCCGGAAAAATCTCAGGAAGTCGATTCCACAATGAAGTTGCGCGAGGAAGAAAAGTTCTTTTAAATCGTACAAAGGTGGACCGCCAGTAATCCAGATGGTATGGATGGCATCGCGAGTTCTTTTTTTAAATTTAGTTATTATTAGAAAGACGCTATTGCCCATATCTTAGTCTGTTTCCCTCTGTCGTACCCACTCGACGATATGGGGTAATAGATATTCTTACCACCACCACCGTTACCTTTACTGTTACAGTAATAAAGTCCATTGCTGAACATAGGCCTCCTACAGATTGCCTAATAGGGGGGATATTTAGTATAGTTGCCACACTTAACGGGGTTGGTTTGGCAAACGCAGTTTTTTTTTTAAATATTTTGGGCGTTATTAGAAAGACGCTGCTACTAATCTGATTTGTTTCCCTCCGTCGCCTCTTACGACAGCTCTTCCGGTACGGAGTGATTCTTAAGCCGCTAGCTACTACACGATGTACTAAATCGTATATAATTAACTTTTTTTTAATAATGATTTATTAAAACCGCTAGAAGGCTTTTACACCTGTAGTTATCTATTTCAGGTACTATTTGTTACGTTTTTAAAGAGCAATAATTAACTTATAGCTGTAAAATGAAGTTAAACTAAATTACAAGGCAAAAATAATTTAATATAGCTAGCGCCTGATAATCCTATAACACTTACGTAGTCAGCAAGCGCCATAATGCCGCTCGGAAAACGTTGCCGGTCCGCCACCATTCGGTTATTAGAGTCTCGCTCTTTCTCCAGCCAGCAATCGTCGATTCCCACATAATTGTAACCAGCGGCTAGATAACCTTCCTTCATCATTATGTCTGTGGTCCGCTTAATTAAGGCTTCGCTGCGATGCAAACGTATTGTTTAGTTCTAACTAAATAAATAAAGAGACAATCTCCGCGAAAGCGGTATGGGTGATAGCCCATCACGGATGGATAAATTTGGTGTTATCCTTCTACCAGAAACGAATCCCTTAAGGCCGCATATGACATATGTAAGACTATAGTAAATATCTGCCCACGGTGCGTGCGGTTGATAGCGACGGCCGCTGTACTAGCGTGACCTGCGGCCGTACACCGCGAGGGATGCGGGCGCAAAGCGGCATGGTCTTTACTGGTAATCGATCCATCGCAAATAGCCCGCCCTGTACCTACCCGTTTGTGCTTACCTCCCGCCAAGTGTGCGTTCCGTCACCGCGGTGGATAGCAATCCGCACAAAACTGCGGTCTCGTGAGTTTCAAATAAAATAGCAGTTCTTTCAGTGTGGGGCTTTAAGTATTGCCCCGTGAGTTTTTAGCCTACCTGATTGAAATGTACTTATTGGGGATATCATCGACACTTAAAAAAGGGCGTTGTGCAATTTAAATATATGGGTGTAGAAAATTCGATGGATGCAGATGACTCAGGACTGTGCTTTATGGCGTCCCTTGAGGGAGGCCTTTGTTCAGCAGTGGTCTCATGATGGGCTGTAATGATGATGAAAATGATGAGGCGTAAAAAATATCAAACTGTGTTTATCACCTTATACATTCCTGGGGGTATTTTTTACAATCGATGATGCATCTGAATCGCTCCCACGTAAGCCAACCCATAGGTGGTGTTAAAGCTAAGCCATTGTCAAGTGATAAAGCTGAAGATAGCAACTCCATGAACATAAACCATAATATCTGTAATAGAAAGTACCATCTTACCAATATTATCTTCATTAATTACTGACTGTGGAGTCGATTAACTGAAATTTCTAGCTTTTGTTTATTCTTACTGTTTACATACATTCACTAGTTTTTAAAACTACTTATATTTTTGAATGCATCGTGTATCAAACCAACAACGTTGTAAGGGTTACCCAAAATACACAAAACGAAGTCTCGACTACGGTTCATAGTGAGCTGAATTGATTCACCAGCATATAAAATGGCTTAACACTTGCACAAATACTGTCATCAAGAAAATCGCATGCAAAGGATTCATACCATTTTGTCAGTCAAATAAAAACACAAAAAAACCAAAAAAACCACATTTTTCCATTCCCCACCCCCCCCCCAAAAAAAACCACAAATTGTAGAAAAAAAAAAAAAAAAAAAAAAAAAAAAAACAAAAAAACTTTTTTCTTTGGGAAAAATTTAAAAAAAAAAAAAAAAAAAAAAAAAAAAAAAAAAAAAAAAAAAAAAACGCCCCCAAAAAATCCCAAATCACCCCCTTCCCACCCCCTTTGATGTTGTAATTATCATTAGAATTAAGATCCTTTGACCTTTTAATATTTTAATTTTCACTGTTATCAACCTAGAACTAAGATTGTTTATTTCAATTAATTTCATTGTCATTATATTATTTTATTATACCACTGTTACTATAAAACGTTTAGAATTAAGATTACTCTATGAGTTCGTTTCCTCCCTTTTTGCTGTCTTTATACAACGTTTTCTGTGTTTAGAATTAATATTACTTAATTGTCATTATATTATACTTTTTGCTTAGAGTCCAGATTACTCTTTGTTGTAGTATTTAATTCATTTTATTCTTTCTTTTTGTATTTTCATCACTCTTATTTTTCTTTTCTGATGTGACTACGAAAACACAAGAAAATCTATAATAACCAAATGATAATTTTATTGGAATAATAACTATGTACAAAAATTTCAAACTCTTAAACAAATTATATTAATATAAAGAGAAGGCATACGCAATATGTATCAAATAGCAGAAACGCGTAGCCTTCTCCATGTGTCATAGAAATAAGTAATAAAAAAAATGTTTAAAAAAGTGTACAAAACTGTGAAAACTGCCAATATACTCCTGTTGGCGGGGGTGTACCCACCGGCGGAAACAATAAAAAAAAAGTACGTGGGTACATATTACTTCAATATTATTAATGTATTTTAATTGCTTAAAATATTATTTTTAAAATAATTTTAGACAGCTTTATATTAAAATTAATTAGTAATAATAATAATGCGCCGTCACATTATGAACTCACAACCCATGCACATAAAAAAACCCTTAGAAAAACGGCATCATTCAATATAAAAAGCACACGTTAATGCATACATAATCAATCAAATCCTCAAACCTTGACAGCCTAGATAAAATGCTTGCATCGAACTTATAATGTTACTTTATTTATTGAAAACTACAGTACCTACAACCAATTGAAGAAATTGACTAGTGGAAGAACTTTCCTACAAGACTTTTGCATTTTACTAAATGTACTTATCTAAACAGCAGCATGTAAGTAAGGTACGTACTGATTGCTAGTAATAGAATGAAATAATAAATGATAGTCGAATTAATGACCTAGATGCATAGCGCAATCTGGTGATAGGCATCAGGCAGTGAGAGAAAAAAAACGAGTCACACGATTGATATCTGTATCTTGCCATGCCAACACTACGCGCAAAGTCTAAAACTGATGTATAGGCAACATCAAATTAGTCCGAGTTTGTTTGGAAAATATAAAATTGTCAAACCAAAAGTATTTTACTGTAGTAACAGCTTACAGATATATTCAATTTTGGTGTCAAAATTATCGATCGAAATACAAATTAGGGAGGTTAGTGAAAATTCGGGATATTTGGCGTCCCGATCAAGGGTGTGGAATCGGAAAGTGTCACCGGACCTCTGAAAATCGGGTAGCTCCGCACAAATCGGGACACTTGGCATCACTAGTTTACGCTATTGTTGTGAAACGAACGCGAGCGGTGGCTGGAAAAAGTGATACATCCTATCATTGGGCAGACTCGGAGCATGCTCGGAGCGTACTGAATTTCAGTATATTAGAAAGTACTCTGTGGTACTGAATTGGACAACGGCTGCGCGTGATGATTTATAGTATTTTTAAAGTAATCATATAAAATAATTAACTAAATAAAACGAGTAATGTACGAGTACTGTATTTTGATAAAATTATTAAAATAGATAAGTTTATATATAAAGACACGGAAAAAGTTCCGTGTATTTAGATATAAACTTAAAAAACTACTTACTTTCCAAAAAGAGCCGTGGAAGCTCAAATGACGCTCGCTGTACCTAAATATAACAGAACGCGAGTAACCCGGCTTCGATCCCCACTGGCACCAATGAAATTGTTAATTGCAATTTTAAGTGCTAATTTACCACATGCTTGGCGGTGAAGGAAAACATCGTGAGGAAGCCTGCATGTCTGAAGAATAAGAAAAAAATTATTTAAGACATGTGAAGTTTGCCAATACGCACTGGGACAGCGCGGCGGATACTTCCTTGCCCTAAAACCCCTTTTATAAATGAGGAGAGGCCTGTGCCCAGCAGTGGGACGTATATAGGCTGTAACTTTTACATGAAAAAAATTGACATTGAAGTGGACAGTTTTGGTGATTTTATAGTTTCGTTTTTTATTATTGAAATATTTTCGTAATTTAGGTTTTGTCTCGCACTAGAAGACTATAATATATTCCATTATAATAATCGCTTAAAGTAAAATATTTTAGCTTATAATAATGGTTGTATTCGACCAGAAAGATAACTCTGAAGCATATTTTCGTAAAACGCTATTAAAGGATATTTTCGATCTATAAAACCGTCACTAAAATAATGTTACGTCACTAAATAATGTATTTTTCAGTAAGAGTTTTCAAAAATACTCGTTGTTTTATATTGTCAGCTGTTTTATATGTTAAGAAGCACAGTTGCTATAGATGTAGCTGAAGAAATCGAATATTTAACAGCTATTTCTGATAGAACGGTAAAACGGTATTAAAGGGGACACCCAGCGGACAGTCGATGACGACAGAAACTCAAGTTCATACTTGAGGTTTATATTAACATCGAAGTACTTATTTCGTCGTTTTCTCTATTAGTTCATATGCGCAGACACTTAATACACAAAATCGCATCACTTTTACGTTACAAAATTCACTTCAAACCATTATTTTAAACGATAAAATAAGAGCAACAATTCGTCGACGGTCAAGTTCCCGCCAAAACACACAGTAAGTAAAGTAATACTAAGTTTCGTAGATCATAGTATATACTTTACAAAATTACATTTTTTTAGCAAATAAATAAACTGGGGAAAAATTAAAAGCATAATATAATGTATATGAATAAAGTACAGTAGATTGGGTAGTAGTAGCTTAAATGATTTTCGAGAAAATATTAAAAATTAAAACCTTTTATTGGAAAAAATATACGATATCCATATTTCAACACCTAGCCCACCGCACGACCTTGGTATGGCCCCGCCCCTGCGTCATCGAGTGAACACGCTGGTAAAGCTGGTGCTACACTAACGGGAAACGTCAATGCCGATAAACGCAGCAATTATTGCTTGAAATTTAACGCGATAAAGTGAGTGGCACTTGAACGCTCAACATCATTAAATTTTAATGCCATTGAACAGCGTTAAAGTTTCTTTAGGATAGGGTGACAAACGAGCACACAATCCACCTGATTGTGTTTGCTGCGGATCGTAGACATCTAAATCTACCCTCGATTACAAATCAGAATGTAGATGCGTTTTCACCTGTGAGGACTAAGATGGAATGCCTCGTTCCCAGTAAAAAACGTCTCCGGTTCTCTACACTCACCATACGAAACACAGCAGCATTAAGCTACTATTTCACGCCGGTATTTTGTGAGAGCATGGTTCTTCCCCTGTTGAGCCGACCCATTCGTACTACAACTATACTACTAATATAACTGCAACATGGCTCTACCACGTATAAATATAGTTAACGTTGGCGTTAATGTTTGTCGAAGACTTTTTATATTTGCTTAAAATGGTTCTATAAAAACCCATTAGACGTTCCTTCGTCTTTCTAATTCTTCGATAGTTG